AAAACATGGAAAATGCTGACGTGGCGGGTTAGTGTGGAAAATTTAGGCTATCAAACAGCGCAAAAGATGGAAAACGGAAAAAATTTCCCTAGTTCCATGGAAAAAGAAGCCAATCAAACAGGGCCTAATTTTCTCATAGTATCAACTTTTTATTTTTTGCCTAGCTAGCGTCATACAATTAGTATATTTAAAATTCTCTCAACATTATATCAAAAAATTTAATTGTAAAAAGAAACAGTAGATAATAAAATGGATTATTGAACTTTAGAGAGTCGAAATAATTATGTTCGCTGGGTTGTCTTTCTCATGTGCAATTTCCTCATTAATTAATACTCATCCAATTTGATTCAACCGTTGAATTTATCAAAATTTAATGAGAAAAAAGAGATAGCAGACGGCTGCATAAAGCAAGAATCTTTGAAAAAATCAACGATAACAAAAACAAGAAAAGAGAACAAATCCCCACCTTTCATCAGAAGGATTTGTCATTGAAGATACGTCTCAGACGGTAGAGAGATATCGTGGAATTATTTGTAATTTTTTTATTTTCTCCCTCCGGATAGGTCCTCCTCAAGAAATTTCCTCAATCTCAAATATCCTATCTACTATTAGTTTACAAAGATATGTTATATAATAAGCTATATTTAGTTAGACATGTTTCATATAATAAAGTCCATAAAATTAAATAATATTAAGGAGAAAAGACATGAAAATAAAATCCAGCAATTCATGTTCAATTATACCAATCTTGCATTCAAAACATGCCAAATATTCGATGGTTAACTCTGTCCCTTAATAATATGATATACAATCATGGACTCTGTGTATATTATATTACACAGACTTAATTAATAAAACGCCGACGTTTCGGTAGGATTCTTTGTAAGATATGCCACCTTTCTTGTCTATCTCGACTTTTTTTTTTCTCTCTATATTTTTTTGCTGATTCTTGTGTAATTTCTTGAAATTAATTGCTTTAGATTGAGTTTGATGTCATGTATCGAACGAGAAAATATCATATTGGGATTGAAAAGTCAAAAATGATTAGTCTTCAGCATGCTTTCGTGATGATGTCCACAGAAATATATGATTTAAAAATCTTGCATCGAAACCATGTTTAATTCCCTTTTTTTTTTGAATAATTTTTTTGGAGAATGAATTGTTAAAAAGTAGAAAAAAAAAAGTTGGGTTTATATACAAAATTATTTTATAGGAAAAATGTACTGTCGAAAATAAGTTTTAAAAAAATGAAATTTAAAGGATATGACTCAATGGGAGCCAGAGGACCACTAATACTTTGCACGAAGAATCCTTAATTCAAAGTGAGATGTGTATATACAAATGTGGACAATTTTTAAAACCGAAGCTAATGTGAAAGTTGTAAAGGAAAAGATTCAAGTCAACAAATTTAACTGACTTCTAAAGAAATACAAGATGCCCCCCAAAACTTTAAACTGTCAACCATTCCAACTTCCTCATTTTTCAAGATTAAAGAATCAGTAGAAAAAATAATAGGCTAATTTTAATTTTTTGAGGACAAACTCAATTTTTATTAATCAGTGACAATTGTACGCTTTAATACTATGCAGCATTATTTCATCGAAAAAAGGGATAATGATAGCGGTGGTCCCTATCCTTTCAACTTTTTGCAGACTTTATCCAAACTTCACTTTGTATCAGCTATAGTCTCAAACCTTTAAAAAATTCGCACATGGGGTTCAAATGGATGGAAACCATCAATCTTGTCTTTAGTTGACCAAAGAAGTCAAAATTTGATCAATTTTGACTAAATTAAAAAGGGCAAAATGGTAAAATAATTAAATGTGAATACGCCTTCTTTTCCATTCCACCCACCTGCACCACCCCACCTAATCAAATCCAGAAAATCGTCCAGCCACCACCACAACTCTCAGACGTTCCTTTTCCAATTTCTTCACCGCCGTTTGATCGAGGAAGCAATTTTTGACTGCTTCCCAACAATTTCTTCATTACTCCTCTTGATCTCGCTTCGAATCTAGATGGTGGTTCCATTTACAACGGGGAGCAAAGGGGATCTCGAGAGTGGGATCGATGGCATTGAGGAGAGGAAGCTTTGGTTGGCACATTGAATTTTGATGCCAACGTAGTTGGCGAGAGGTATTGTCAGGGGTTGCCATTGCGCTTCCAAATTTTGTTTGTGTCAGATTGGGTGATTTTCGACCAATGGCACGATGGAGAGCAGCAACTAAACGGGGAAGGGGCAGTGATTTTGGGTTCGATTTTGGAGAAAGCAGCATCAATTGAGGCGGACAACGAGATGAATTTGGGTTCAACTTTGATTTTCAGTTTGGGTTCCATTTGGCAATGAAAAATATAGTGATTGTGGGTTTGGTGGTGGTGATAGCGGCATTGACGACGGTGGGTAACAATGATTTTCGTTTTGGGGTAGAGGTAGAGGTGGGGTTCGGACGGGAATGTGGAAGAAGTTAATTGTGAGAGATATTGATTTTTTCAATTTTTTATTTAATTATTTAATTTGAAAAAGTGTAAAGTACCATTTTGATCTTTTTAATTTGGTCAAAATTGAACAAATTTTGACTTTTTTTTTGTCAACTAACGGTTTCGGCCTCAGGTGCGAATTTTTGAAAGGTTTGGGACCGTGGTTGACACAAAGTGAAGGTTAAGGTAAAGTTTGTAAAAAGTCGAAAGGTTAGGGACCACTGCTGTACTTATCCCAAAAAAATCATTTATTCTATAATTGTATATTCTAGCAAATATGGCCCGTTAACAAGATTTTTCAGAAGTCAAAAGTTAGTTCTAAACTAAGAATTTGCTTTTAAACATCTTTAGATAATTTCCTGCTAGTAATTTGTTTAGTTAAAAGAGTTTTCGAAGGAAATTGATTTAAGATAGCTTTTTCAGTAAACTATTATACAAGAAGTAGAAATTTCGGCCTAATGAACCTTACGTTGAGTGGCACGATATGTCCATATCCAACGTACACAACAATGTATCGTCGTGTACCACTAGCACCTAATAAAAACTTAATTTGCATATATTGTAATAGTATTAGACCAAAATGTTCAACGTTGTTATCAATTACCATATAAATAACTTCAAATAGACAATAGTGGCGGAAATAATAATGGGAAAGACGAACGCAATCCACGGGCGACCTTGTTTGGCTCCTAAAAATAAGGTTTGACTTTCGACAGAGTTAGTAATTTCATTACGCAATATACGGCCTGTACTTTGATGCACACGTCGTTCCCTCTCATCCGTACGTCGACCTTAATTCTCCATTTTCGTCGTGCATATATATGTGCAAGTGTATTACTTGTGAATTCATATTTCACATACTCATCCCCACCCCAATTACCTTTACATACAAGAGAGTTGTACTTATTCTGTATCTATATACAAATATGATGTACGAGCAGCAGCAACAAATGAGGTTGGACATGAGGAAGAGACATGATCATGGTAGAAGATCAAACCTCATAGAAGAAGAAGAAGAAAAACTTGAAATTGTTGATCTAAGTGGGATGTCTTTGGAGGTTCTTCCAAATCCTCCTCTAAGTTTAGGAACCATTTGCAAATTAGATCTCTCCAACAACAATCTTCAGGTGCCATTTCGATCAAAACTTCGTAATTTTTCGTTTCACGTTCTTTTGATACAACACGGTAGAACACTAGGAGTAGACCGAAAATATAGCACGACCCTTATAGTTTATTTTTTAGAATCTCATTCGTTTGGATCCCTTACTCGATCTAACAATGAACTAAATAGATGGGCAGTGTTTAGCCCCTGTTTGGCCACCATTTTCTAAAATTTATCTTACTCAAACTCAATTTTCGACCACGACTTTTCAATTGGATGAGCAGTGTTTGGCCCCTGATTGGTATCCACAACATTCATCTACTTTTCAATCACACATCTCAACAATCTTTACCGAAATATACTAAAAGATAATTTTTAGCTAAATGAAACAGGGATTAGTTTGTTGTTGTTTTGTTCGATTAATCGAATACATAAAGTTAAGTTCTTGATTAAGTGTAGTTTTTAATTTTATTTTCTTGTCTTCTCCATTTGATAGAGTATTCCAGAGTCCTTGACAGCGAGACTCTTGAATGTGGTCGTGCTGGATGTGCACTCGAATCAGCTCAAATCCCTACCAAATTCAATTGGATGTTTGTCAAAGCTTAAGGTTTTGAATGTATCGGGCAATCTTCTCCAAGCGCTTCCTCGGACCATCGAGAATTGTAGGTTCGTTCTTTCTCCTCCCCTCCTTTCGTATACTTTACGAACCAATACTTTTGGGATTAGTTGTGTTTCTTTCTTATCACTCTATTTGATTACCACTCGAGGCCTAGAGAATTTTTATCTATCGGTCATTTCAGATTGCTAACAACTTTCTATTTTTATTAGGTCCTGAACTTGATTAAAATCACNCAAATGCTTTTGGCCGTTAATCGTCAAGACGTGCAGCATAGTTGTTAATTTCTTTTCTACTCTAAAATGTTTGTGTCTCAATCATTTACGGGTAGTTGTTCAGATTGATATTTTATGGGGTGAATATACTCACATCATTTTATTTTATAAATACACCATATTTTAATAATATTAAAGGTCATTAACCTATATTCATTATTACATTTATATTTTTAACTTTTTTCTTAATCAAATTCTTATTTTTAATATTTAATTAATCGAAAAATCGTATTCTTAATCATGATTTTCGTTCAAAAATATTGTTAACGTGCTTGAAAATGAAAGTAGTTTTGAAGTTTTATTTGTTTTGTTTATTCAAAAATATAATGAATAAATGAATTTCTAGCTTTTACTTTATCTTAATGAAAATTTTGGAGAGAATTAATCATAAACATAAACGATTTATATTAATTGAGAATAAAAGTTTGAAACATAAATATGATAATTTGTAAATGTTATGAACGTTTTATACAATTAAAATGCATTTTTCCTATTATATTTGGTCATTTTGTCCCAATAGTTAAAGTATGGATAGGTGGAAAACAATCAGTTTCCATTTTGTCATCATAACTTTTGTTCATCATGTCTCTTCCTTCAACCATTAGTATTTGAATGTAATTTAATAATCTAAAATAAAAGCTATGAATTAATGTACTCAATTAAAAATTAAGGGGCCCTTCAACCATTAATATATAGTAATTAATTTTGTAATAATTTAAAACAATTGATCTATTAAATATAGACTATAGTATGTATATCTTGAATATAGAGTGTGACGTACATTTTACGGGGAAAATAATTGATTACTTTCTTAAACTTATTTGTAGAATTAATTATTTGTACCATCTTTATGAACACTTGCTGAATTATTATGTTAGGTAGTAGTTCATATGTTGTACTAAGTATTTCGATATGAACTGCAGATCGCTGGAAGAGCTGAATGCAAACTTCAACAAGCTAAGCCAACTCCCAGACACTATAGGATTTGAGCTTCTCAACCTCAAAAAACTTTCTGTCAATTCAAACAAGCTCGTATTCCTCCCTCATTCTACCTCCCACTTAACCAATCTAAGAGTTTTGGATGCGCGTCTTAATTGCCTTCGTTCCCTTCCAGACGATCTCGAAAACCTAATCAACCTACAAGTCCTCAACATCAGCCAAAATTTTCAGTACTTGGCAACCCTTCCATACTCCATAGGCCTCCTCATTTCTCTAGTCGAATTGGACGTAAGCTACAACAAAATCACAACATTGCCCGAGTCCATCGGTTGCCTCAAGAAGCTTCAGAAGCTCAGTGTCGAAGGAAATCCACTCGTGTCACCTCCAATGGACGTTTTCGAGCAGGGATTGCTGATGGTGAAAGAGTACTTGTGTGACAAAATGAATGGATCTCATAAGAACTCCCCCAAGAAAAAATCATGGTTTAAAAAGTTGGCAAAATGTAGTACTTTCAGTGGTGAAAACATACCCCTTGATGATAGAGAAGGGGACATAATGCAGAATTATAGGTCCATTGAAGGCCTGGCATCACCTAGATATATGGCAATGTTTTCTCCAAAAAGGCTATTCTCACCAAAATCCTACTTTTCTAGATGAACATGTTGTGGATCGATGTGCATACATGATTTGTAAGTTTCGTAGTATTGTGTTATAAGAGTGCAATAATTTAACAAGTTTCAGGCATATTGAAGTTGTATATTAATCCTCATGTCATCTAAGACTGCTTTTAAGCACACTCGATTTCTGTATTGTTAATTAATGGCTCATTCAATTCATGCTGAAATGCTTGATTAGTCCACACAAGAAATGGAAATTGAAAACTTTCTAGTTTTTCCCCCTTTCCAATTCCACTTTTTAGTGAGTTTATCGGCTCAAACTCGATAATTGTACGTAAGAGTCCAGATTTATTGTTGCGAAGTTTCTGCCTCCACAAGCACATTACACATTGGCACAATTTTTGACACACTACGCCTTGTCATCTTCTCATTTGTTATGAAGAGATAATGTGTCAAGGTGTCAAAAATGTATTGATGGAACAGTCAAGGGGACAACAATTTTAGAATAATATATTTGGACCTTGTTTGTAATATCTTCAATATTTTTCTTCTCGTCACGAGATAAATATATACTTGTGTGAATTTGTTCAAATTTTAGTCTAATTGTTTGGATGAAAATTCAGTTCACTTGCTATCAGGTTTGATCATGCAAAAAATTAAGCCCCTATTTGACGTGGATTAAAATCTTTATAAGAGATTCACAACTTTTCAATCACATATTTCATCATTTTTTAAATTAAAATCTATGAAACATCTAATTTTTAGCTGCGCCAACATAGGAGCTAAAATTTCAAGGTGTAGGTACTTGGATCAGTCTCATCCATCTTCACTCTCTCGCCTGCCCCTCAACTCGAAAATACCTCCCAAATCGGATACCAAACCCGCCTCCGCTGCCACAATGCCACCTGGTCATCTATCCAACTCCATCAAACTGGTCCTGCATATTCTCCCGATTTTCCCCAACTATGCCGAAGTTGTCGAAAATAACTCTCTCGGCATCATGACCGTTTACATCCTCATTCTACGAACTGATAGGGATGACAAAAAAAAAACCAGTTTAATCCGATATCCGTGGAGTCCCGCCCCGAATAGGGCGGAGATTACCCGCCTAACCGGGTAAACGAGACGGGGACGGGACGAGGGTCATTGCCCAAAGTGGGTATGGGATGGGTTCGGGAAACATAGTCCCCGCCCCCGCTACCCACCCCGTTTAAAATTAATTTCAAATTTAAATTTTTTATCAAACAAAAATAATAGATTTATCATATTTTTCAAAAGAACATAAGTTGTTTTTAATAAATAGGTAAAAAGTAATAATATTTACTAATTAAAGACATAAAAAAGTTAAAAGTAAAAAATAAAATAAATTAAAAATAAAAAGAAAAAATAAATGAGGCAGAACACTTGCCCCGCCCCGCCCCGAACTGCTTTAACCGGGTATGAGGATGGGGTAAGGTAATAAAAAAACCCGACGGGATGGGGGTGAGAATGACCAACCCGTCCCATACCCGCCCCATTGTCATCCCTACGAACTGATTGTAGTTTCGAAGATCGTCTATGACATCATCATCGAGCCCCCATTTATAATTTTACCTTAAAAAATAATTGGGCTTGGAGGGCAAGCTTGACCCCTATCTCCGCCCCTGATTGGAGATACGGTTTGCACCAAGTGTAGAAGAAAAATAATTTTCAAATAATCACTTTCAAATAAAGTTTATATAATATCTTTACAACGAACTTGTTTATCAATTCTCAATTGAGTTAAGGTAAAATGTATGCATTTAAGTATACATTTTCTTTTTCAATCTCTCCATGTAAATACACACATTATGGAGCATGACTAGTTAAGCCTAAAGTAAAATACTCCTTGTCGTAAATGTCGACATCTTGGTAATTCGGAATCAGAGGATGTTGTTAGGTCTATATAGTTGTTCATGGGAATAATTTTCAATAAAAACTGCACGAAAATGGGAAGAAGATGGTGAGGAGAGGCTGCCTGTGGTGTCTCGTGGTTGTGCAGGAATATTTAACGGATTGGAAAGAAAGTAATATTGAAGGGTAAATCGGTAATGAAGCGTTTCACAAACCAAAATCGCGGAAGAGATAATCCAAGTTAAACTAATGCCTCAAATAACAAGTTGTCATATAGAATGACTACTGCAATCGCTGACTATAAATTTCATTACTCATTCTTGGAGTGAGGAATATCCTGTTGGAAATTGAGCTTCAACTTCTGAAATCATCTTCAGTTTCAGCCTCATCTTCAGTTTCAGCCTTTCATCTTCAGTTTCAGTTTCATCAATTCTTTTTCCAAAAATCCCTCCCAAACAAGCTATAAGTATACATTTTCTTTTTCGATCTCTTCATGTAAATACACACATTATGGAGCATGACTAGTTAAGCCTAAAATAAAATACTCCTCGTCGTAAATGACGACATCTTGGTAATTCGGAATCGGAGGATGTTGTTAGGTCTATATAGTTGTTCATGGGAATAATTTTCAATAAAAACTGCAGGAAAATGGGAAGAAGATGGTGAGGAGAGGCTGCCCGTGGTGCCTCGTGGTTGTGCAGGAATATTTAACGGATTGGAAAGAAAGTAATATTGAAGGGTAAATTGGTAATGAAGCGTTTCACAAACCAAAATCACAGAAGAGATAATCCAAGTTAAACTAATGTCTCAAATAACAAGTTGTCATATAGAATGACTACTGCAATCGTTGACTATGAATTTCATTACTCATTCTTGGAGTGAGGAATATCCTTCAAATATGGTGGACCCTATTGGAGGCATTTTTAGGAGATAATGGGGGAAACAATCAACTTTTATAAAGATGGGGATTCGGAGGACACTTGGAAAAGTTGGAAACAATCAACTTTTATCCTTCAATTAATTTTAGTGAATATTTCATGGCTAGTTTGCAGCAACAAGAAAATACTGTGATTATTTTGCAACAAACAGAAAATGGAGGGGCAGATTCACAGCCAATAGAAAATTCAGAAATAGATTAGCAGAACATTCGGGATATATTTTGTAGCGACCAGAATAGGGACAGAATTGGTGGATTCTGAAAGTTTTAGCTCAATTGAAGTCCAATTAGTCGGGATTATTTTGGACGAGGGCAATAAAAAAGGAGGGCAGTTTGGAAAAAATTAATAAAAGTTTTGGATCTTTTACGAAGTGGGACAACGACCAAACGGAGCAATGATCATTAGGGCATCTCCAATGGAGATCCCTAAACACTATTTTGCATCATAATGCCTCCAACGTAGCACCATACCTCGCACCGTTTTGGTGCAACATATTGCAAAGTCAATTTTGCCATTCTCTTTCATTTTTCGAACATATTGGTTAAGGATAGTTGTGTCATTTTTGTGATATATTTTTTTTATTTATTTATTATTATTATTAT